TATATATTTCAGACAAGGTCTGTCCCTATGTGTAGTCCTGAGCTCTGGCTGCCCTGGAACTCAATCTACAGACAAGGTTGGCCTGGAACTCAGATAACCACCTGTCTCTGGGATTAAAGGCGTGCCTGCGTGCCTGAGTGCGTGCGTGCGTGCGTGCATGCGTGTCACCACATCTGGCTGATTTCTAAGCTCTTGATTGACTGAGTCACCACTGACTACAGAAATTTTCCAGCCGTCTGCAGGATGTGACAAGGTCTAGAACATGGCAACCAGGGGATTGTAGTGGCTTCCGTGGGACCTGGTTCTCCTCACTCTACTCCCTCAAGTCTTCTCTCTAGACAGAAATAGACTCACCAGTTTCTGAATGAAGGCAAGAGTCAGCTGCAAGGTGGAAATCCAGACTTTGCTGTGATTGAGTTAATGCCCCACTGGGTCCTCTAACTACTTGGCATTACTGCCTAGCTATGATCTCAACACTGAAGGACCTCTTCTACCTCAAACACCAACCTTAACTTCTCCAGAAGAAACCTGCCTGCACAGAAAAACACCAACATGGTACCTCCCAACACTGGTCTCCTGAGCACAGTGGATTTTAAGAACTTTATATGTAGACTCCTGGGCCTGCAGCTTCCTTGGTATCACCCACTCCTTTCCTAGAAAGCAACAGTAGGGAGAGCCTTCTGTCTCTGATCCCCGTGGCCAGCAGCAGACACCTTGCTGAGAACTCTGGGAGTTATGTGTCTCTTCCCTACTTGGCAGAGCTGGCCACACCCCAGAATCTAAGCAAGTTCAAAAGCATTAGAAAAACTCTAGCCAGTGACTGCGGGCTGTCCCTAATGACAGCGCGCTGGAAACCATGGCAACTTGACTTCCCAGAGAAGCCCCTGGTCTGTCCGGTTCAGCTCTGTTTGCTGATCCCCAAGGCTTTGCTTACTCAGCCCTGGCATGTGCGATTCAGGCACCCTAGGCCTGGGTGAATCTCCTTTCAGCTTGTGCCCTGGCTCACCCTCCAGCTGCTCTTTCCTGGCAAGGCCTCGGGGGTATTTAACTGTGTGAGGCCTTTCCAAAGAGGCCCTGCAGGTCACATGCCTTTCCCCTTAGCACAGATGGCCCCCTTATTTATTTTAGCTGTTGTTGAGCCTAGGCTCGTCAGCAAAGTCTGGTTCTCTTTGCTAGGGCACATCGAGTGGGAAAACCAGAGCTGCCCTGGGCTGTGTTCTGAGGGATCTCTTACAAACACCAGTTTCACTGTCACTGTGACCTAGGTTCAATTCCCAGCACTCACATGGTAGCTCACACCTGTAACTCAGACATGCAGACAAAACACCAATGAATATAAAGTAAAAATTAAATAATGATAATGAAAATAATAATAATAAAAACAACAAAAACCTCTGAACTGTGGCTAGGGGCAGGGGTGCTTTGCTTACATGTATGTTCGCACGCATGTGCACCACATGCCTGCCAGTCAGTGGAGGTCAGGAGAGGGTATCAGATCCCCTGAAACTGGAATTAAGGATAGGTGTGAGACACCACATGGGTGCTGGGAGTCATACCTGATCTTCTGCATGAACAGCAACACTCCTAACTACTGATTCTCTGTCTCTCGTCCTGGGGTTCACACCTTTAATCCCAGCACTGGGGAGGCAGAGGCAGGAAGGCGTTCAAGAACAGCCTGGTCTACATAGCCAGTCTCAGGCTGGCCAGGGTTACACACTGAGATCCTATCTCAACAAAACAAGCCACCCAAACTCCTGACCCCTCTGTCCTTGGTGCACAGCACCTTCCAGGTAGCACCCACGCACGCACACACGCAAGCACACATGCGCATCCCACCACTCTCTTCCCTTTACAGCAGCCTCGGGCGATTAGGTGTCTGGTGGGGTTTCTGTGAGCCCTAAGCCCATTAGCCTCCTTCCAAAGCTCTTTCCATTCCCGTGGCTTAATGTTTAAACAATTACCTGGAGTAAATTCTCGTTACACAGTGAAGTACACAAATCCATGTTCTCAGAAAAGTTTTTTTTGGGGGAGAGATTTTGAGACAGGATTTCTCTGTGTAGCCCTGGCTGTTCTGGAACTCACTCTGTAGACCAGGCTGGCCTTGAACTCAGAAATTCTCCTGCCTCTGCCTCCCAAGTGCTGGGATTAAAGGTGTGAACCACCACTGCCCGGTAGCACAGACAATTTTAAAAGCAGTGTGTGTGAGGGCGGAGTTGAGGATGTAGTTTATCAGTGGTAACCAAGGCACCTGCCTGTCAGCCCACTTCATGTGAGGCAACAGTGTTGAACTGAAGGGAAGTCTGCCAGTAAGGAGCTGCGTGCCACACCCTTCTCACAGGACAAAACCTTAATGCCTGCCTTCAAAGAGTTTATAACCACAGAGACGGTATACACAACGCCTTTTATAGACAATCTCCCTCATCCCTCTGGAACACAGGAAACAGACACAAGATTCCTCCTCTGTGGTAAAATATGACTCGCTCCAACAGCACAGCACCATGTCTCACCCACCATACTGCCATCCAAAGCTAACGAACAGGAGGCAGATGCCCTAGAGTGCCAGCACCGACACTGAAGCAGAGGACCACCCAGACAAGATGTCAGTGGGTTATCAGTGAACTCTAGGCCCCTTGGCCAAGAGTGAGACATTGTGGGGTGAGAGGGTGAAGAGGAAGGAAGGAGAGGGGACAGTAGATAACCACCGCCTGGGAGGAGCTTGCGTGTCCCTGTCTCAGAGCAGTGTCTGGTTGAGGCCCTGGGCCCATCCAGCAGCGCCTCTCACCTGTGTCTGTAGGTCAGCATGGGTTCCTTATCTCCATCCGATTTACACCCACAGACCAGGCAGAAACCCAAGTCAAAAGAGATCCAGGATGCAGCCGCCTCCCGCACCGCCCCCCCCCCCCCCAGGAGTTACTCCAAGGTACCCAGCAAGCTCAGCACAGTCGCTTTCTTGGGTGTTGAATTTTGGATGATGACAGCAGGATGGCAACAACTTCTAGGGTGCCACTCTAAGGAGCCACAGAACTGGCCATGTGGACTGTGCCGTCTCACGGTTCTGTAGGGTTCTTAAACAAGTGTGTGTGAGAGACAGGGGACCAGGACAGACACATACAAAACACACTGCGATACCAGCACTTGAGAAACTGGGGCAGGAGCACTGTGCTCTGAGGCCAGCCTGTTCATAGCAAGATCCGGCCTCTAAAAAATGGCAGAGCGGAAATCTTGCCCCAAATGCCAACACCATAATTGTACGGACGGACAGTGGTTCCAGGTCTCACCAAAGCCAGGCTTCCAAAGAAAAGATGTCCCCTCCGGGAGTCCTGCCGGGTGCCGCTCTGCTCCTCATGGGGACCTGGCCGCCACCCACAGCCCCCCTGCTGCGGACATGGGTCTTTACTGGTGGGGACTGACAAGTCAGCTAAAATCCACCCTTTTAAGGAAAATGCAGACGGAAGAGCTATGTTCAAGATCTTTAATATTGTGAAGACAGGAAGATCTGGGGAATGGGACAATGGTGGCAAAGACTGTCTTAAAACTCTGCAAGGCTAAGATGGCGCATAACTGATCTGAGCACTCAGGAAGCAGAGGCAGGAGAATCTAGGGGGCCCAGAGACCTGCCTGGGCAGCAGGGTGAGCCCCCTCCCCTCCAGAGAGGCTCACCACAAGCTCAAGTGAGACACAGATGGGGTGGGGGAAGGCAGGACTAGGTAGTGAGGCCAGTGCTCTACAGGATTCTGACTAAGAGGGAAGCACAGCTCTGCCTCCCTAATAGGATTTTCAGACACTGAGGCTGTCACAAAGTCCAGCAAAGGAGACAGACTGGGTACATTCCCATGGTTACAAACAAGATGGAGACAATCAATGGTGGACGCCTCCCACAGCCCTGGTCTCTCATGGTCCTGCTGGAAAGCAGAGTCTTGACAGATCCGTGATGCCAGTGAGAAACCCCTGTCCTGTTTTGCAATCACAATGACCTGACCTAGTCACCCCGATGACAACGTCCACCTGCAGTGGCCTCTGGGTCCTTACAAGAAATCGTTCGTCGATAGCAGAAGTTTGCCAAGCTCGGCACACGTGTCCATCCGAGGCTGGTGGGCCCCATGGCAGCGTCTACAGCCTCCAGGTCAGAGTCAGTCAGAGCATACCCGGATTTAAGGAACCATGGATTTCCTTACTTCACTTGGAGGCTTTCTGGATGTCGGAACAAGTTTTTCAACATAAAGCTTCATGATTAAAAAGACCCAGAAATCAGCAGATGAAATGCAATCATCTAACACTTGATTACAGCACTGGGAGATTCCATGGCATCCAAGGATCAGGCCAATGAGTTGTCTGCCACACCTGGTTGCTAAGCTCCACATGGTTCAGGTAAGCATCTCACTCAGGTCCACTGAGCCTGCTCAGGGCCCAGGCAGTCCATGTGCTGTACCAGAGAACCTGTGGGTCACCCTGCTGCCTGGTTTCTAGGCATACTTTTGTGGCCCTGACTTTCTTGGAGAACTGAAAGACCATCCTCTTCCTGTTCTGAGGACACCATAGCTTCCTCCACCAGCGCTTCAGGAGACACTCCATACCCAGGACAACCAGCTGTCAAGAGGTCTGGGGCCAAGTTTGAGACCAAACAGCTTAAAAGCCTGAGAGCTGGTGTCGCAACACAGGCCTGAAATGCAGCCATTGGACAGTGGAGACAGGAGGACCCAGAGTTTGAGCCAGTCTGAGCTATCCGAGGCCCTCCCTGTCTTAGCGGGAAGAAACCAACCGGAGGGGCTTGAACGCCTCTTACCACAGCCTGTTCTCCAGGTCCATGAATACTGGGCGTGAGCAGCTCGGCAGCCACAGCCCACTCAGTCTTGGGGACAAGGCATCCAGAAAGAAGTCTTTCTCCATGCCCAGGCTTCATTTTTTTCTTTGCCGTAATTTGTGTCTAGGGACTGCATTTCCATACACTCTGTCTCCGATTTTCTCTGATGCTCCAGGAAGACTTAAATTATACTCTGTGGTAACATAAGGAACTGTCCCTTCGGGCCCAGGCTGAAATGGAAACACAAAGAAGCAGCATGGAGACCTGTCCACAAGGAACAGTGTGTCATTCGAGTCACATAATAAAGTGTATGTCTCCAGGGGACTGGAGAGATGGCTCAGTGGTTAAGAGCACTGATTGCTCTTCCAGAGGACCAGGGTTCAATTCCCAGCATGCACACAGAAGCTCACAACTGTCTATGACACCCTCACACAGACACATGTGCAGGCAAAACACCAATGCACATAAGATGGAAATAAAAATGAAAAAAAAAAAAAAAAAGTCTCCCATTGCCTCGATTGTTGACAATGCCAGCTTGGTCTCGCCTGCCCAGGTTCCCTGGAGGCCTCTTCCATGTGGACTCACCTGGTTCTTGAAAACACAATGTGGAATGGAAATGGAACCAACCAGCAGACAGTTGACAGTTTTTAACTCCTCTGGAGGCAGAGGGGTGAGGATGTGGTAGAGTCGCTTGTCCATGTCAATGCCTCTGCAGATTCCTGCAAGATTCAAAGCAGGGTCGGCCATTCTGCAAAGCTGCACTTTTCAACCACAGGGAAGTGAAGGTAAAGTTGATCACAGAGTTTTAATTTTGAATTTTGGGGGTGAATATATGGCTCAGCAGTTAAAAGCATTTGTTGCTCCTCCAAAGGACCCGGGTTCCATTTATAGAACCCATATGGTGACTCCCATGGGTGACGCCCACCTCTGGCCTCTGGGCACCAGGCATGTGATGCAGACAGACATGAGGAATAAATGAAGGAGTTTTCATCTTCAGTGTTTTACTTTCAGGATACAGTACATAGCCGTGGAGCTGACGGGCTGGCCCTACAGAGGAAGGGCACTTGCCGTTCTTCCATGAGATCCAAGCTTGGCTCCCAGCACCAACTCCAGGCAGCTCATAACCAAATGTAATGCCAGCTCTAGAAACCCAACGCCCAACACCTCTGCTCTCTAAAGGCTTCTGAACTCATGTGAACATACCCACATAATTAAAAAAATTTTTTTGGGGGGGTAGACAGGGTCTACATAGCCCTTGTTGTCTAAGAACTTGCTAACTTGACAAGACTGTCCTCAAACAGGAGACCCACTTGCCTATGCCTCCTGAAGTGAGCCATGATGCCAGGCTAAACATAAATTATAAGAAAGTGCCATTCAAAGAATTTGATTGTCTGTCCCATGTTCAGCCGTGAGGGACTGAAACAGGCTTACAGAATGTGATGTAGGTAAAACCCTGCCACCTAGGAGCACAGAGAAAGACATTAATTTCTCCAGCGAAAGGTGATTCTTTGTGTCTGGCACCAAATAATACAGTGTCCAGGCAGGAGGTCTACTGTCTCCAGTGAAGAGGACAGGGCAGGAAGCATCATTCACTGTTCACTCACCAAAGCCCAAACAGTCACATATGGGGTTCTGGGCAAGCAGGATGGGGCCCCGAGTGTAGCCTTTCATATCATCCACGATCCTGCAAAGGCCAACCCAGCTGGCATTCACAGCGTACAGGATGTGGGTAGGAGCAACGTCAGCGTGCATGACCCGGATAGCGACAGCACTGAAGGGCACCTGGAGAAGAGACCGTAATGTGCACCTCGCTCTTTAGCTCCTACCTGGAAACATGTCTCCTTGAGACCTCCAAGGTACAATCTACTGCCTCAGGCTCCTACATGGAATTATCAGGCGTGGACTACAACAGGTGACTTAAGAGACTCTTTAACCAGCCTGCCTCCAAACAGAAATCCAACAGGGCACTACACCAGGTTCCCCTGGTTTTCTTCTGAGAAAAGGGTCTCTCATTGGACCTAAGGCTCGCTGATTGGCTAGATCGCCCGGCCAGCAAGCACCAGCAATCTTGTGTCTGCCCTGGTGCTGAGGTTGTAGGCACGTGCCAGCACACCCAGCCAAAACCTAGGGTTTTGAAAGCACAAATTAGGGGATGGCTCAGTGGATGGAGTCCTGGCCTCTGACGATGCAGGAAGCCCTGGGTGTGGTGGCACATGACGAGTCTCATGGCACGTGGCAGACAGATGCAGGAGGACCTGAAGTTCAAGGCAGCCTGGGCTACACCTCCGTTCTTCCTGTACTTGTCCGTATGATCTTCATTCCCTCTCTCCCCAACTTAAAAGCAACCCAGAGCACGGGTGAGATCAGTAGCACTAGTGTCGGCTGTAGATGATGGGGGAGCTGCTCAGGACGCCGAGGAGGTCAGGGAGATAGGAGGACGTGAAAGGGAGAGCCAGAAAGGTCAGGAGGTCCCAGGGCCTGGAGGCTGTGGCGACAGGGACGTCCCAGCAGGTCTTGGCAGCCAGCCTCAGGTCGGCTTCTCTGCTGCGTGTCTGCAGCATTTACTAGCTACACATTGGTGAGTGTGAGCCTGCTTTCCTGGTTTCCTTCGTTTTAGAGGCCAGCCTCCCGCCACCGTCATGTTTCATCATCATCTAGAACACGCGCCACAAGTCAGTGACAATTGTGGAATTTTGGTGTCTTAAAAAAAAAAAAAAAAAAAAAAAAACCCCATGGAAATACGGTTTTTTTTTTTTTTGTTTTAATCCCAGGTGTGGAGACATGAGGTGGCTTGGGACTATCCACAGCGGCTGACTAGGATTTGCCTCGTGTCCTGGCAAAGGGTGGTTTTGCCAGCTGCAGATAGTTTGTGCAAGTGCGATTATGTGACACTTGGAATTCTGGGAACTTTTCAGAGGGTATTTGAATCCTAGGGCCCTGGGGAGAGGGGGGATTGTGGTATGTCAGTAGCCTTGCTCAAAAAACAAAAAGAAATTAAACTTAGATTCAAGGATCTCCGTCCCCCCCTCTCTGTGTGTGTCTCCCCCCTTATCCTTCTTTCTCTCTTATCTAGTGATAGGAGGTAAAACCGGCGGGAAATGGAGAACCTACAAAATAGCAAAGCCGAGCTCCAGGCCAGTGTGCTGGTCAGAAGTACCAGAGCAGAAGGAGAGCAGGGCAGGCCTAGGGCTCAGTCACTGGCCACCTCCACCCTTCCTACAGACACAACACAAAGTGACTTTTTTTTTGATATATCCAGGTAACCACGTCCCAAGTCTTCTCCTGTACGAAGCACAGGGAACTCTACAGTACTGCTCTGCAGTAGAGATATGTGGGGACACTACTTGCTTTGTCTTCAAAGCAAATGCTTCTTGGTTTAAAAAACAAAATGCAGTTGTTGTGTGTGTCAGTGGGTCTGTGGGTTTGTCTGTCGGTCTGATGGTTTGGATGAGAATGGCCCCAACAAGCTCCTAAGCGTGAATGCTTGGTTCCCAGATGGTGGAACTGTTTCAGAAGGATGATGAGGTGTGTCCCCAGGGGATGGGCTGAGGCATCAAGACTTGCAAAAGTCCCAGTGACCGTAAATGAAAGCATGAAGTCTCAGTTGCTTCTCCCCCTTGCCTACCTTTGCTCTGCCATCGGACTCTAAGCCTCTGAACAGTGAGCAAAGCAGGTAACCTCATTATAAGCTGCCTCAGCCAGTGTTCTGACACAGCAATGACAAAGTAACCTGAGACTGTGTGTGCGTGTGAGTGTGTGTGTGTACGTGTGTGTGTGTGTGTACGTGTGCACATATGCATGTGAAGCTTAGGCTGGGTGTCATCCCACATCATGGGAAGGCTCTGGGTTCAATCACCAAACACATACGTCTGCTATCACCTGAGACTATCTCCATCACCCTAGATCCTAACATAATAGCCGTTTCCCCTGAAGCAATACCCAGCAGCCTAAACTCCGCACTGCAGATGCCTGGCTGTTGGAACCTGACAGGAGTATAACTAGGTCCACAGGAGGTGCTCTAGGTACCAGGTAGTCTGGGATGCCTACAGCATCCCAAGACACCCTGAGGCACGTGCACTACCCTCATGCAGTAAGAAAGTGCAAACATGGGGCAGCCACAAGATTAGATAACTTATAGCTGTCATGTATAACTACAACAGATGACAGACACTGAGGCTTGCCTGCCAAGGACCAAATGCCAGCTCTGCATCTTCTTCTAGGCAACCCAGCCTCACTGTTAGTCTCCCCATCTGAAAAATGGGGACAGTATCAGAAGCCACACCACAGGGCTGTTTTGAGAATTAGGCAAGCAAAGAGTTATACAGGAGCAGACAAGCACTCACCGGGACTCGGGACTTGGAAGCCTCAAGCATCTTATCGGTATCAGATAATTTTCCCCACCAGCTCCAATTACCTGATAGGGTGTCAGGCTGTGCAAAGGCCTAAGTGGCTCTGGCACTGGAGGCATCAGCTGGCTCAGGTAGCCCAACACTGCCAGATCTCGAAAAATCCTGTTGTATTTGGCCCTGAAAAACAGAGCAGAGGATGCTGGGTAGAGAATCACAGCAACCACACCCACAACAGCCTCACAGTGACAGCAACCACACCCACAACAGCCTCACAGTGACAGCACAGCACACCCACAACAGCCTCACAGTGACAGCACAGCACACACACAACAGCCTCACAGCGACAGCACAGCACACACACAACAGCCTCACAGTGACAGCAACCACAC